CGGGAGAATGCGGCGGCGCTCGCGGATGCTGCTGTGCTTCGCCTTCCTGTGGGTGCTGGGCATCGCCTACTACATGTACTCGGGGGGCGGCTCCGCGCTGGCCGCGGGCGCCGGCGGCGGCAGGAAGGTGAGTGGGGCGCCCTGCCCGGCCCCCCCGAAACCCCGACTTCCCCCAGCGCCCCGGGCCCTCCCGGTGCCGACGCGCCCCTGCCCGGCCGCAGACCCTCTCGCTCCGAAGAGGCTGCGGGGACCGGAGGGGCTGCCGGCCCCTCTTGCTCTCCTCTGCCCGGATCTCCTCTCGGCTCCCCGACTCCGGCCCGGGCCTCCTGGCCGAGTCCTCAGGGCAGGGGCTCACCCGGCCTCTCCGCGCTCGCCGGGCTCTGGAGGGAGCGACCCGGCGCAGCCTCGCAGGGCTGGGGACCGCGACGCCTTCCTTGTCTCCCCCCCTCCTCCGTCCCTCTCCCCTCTCTGCTCTACGTCATTTAAGTTGGGTCTGGTCCGGCTGCCAGGAGCTCATCCCCTGCGGTGGGAAGTTTAGGGGTGGGGGGGTTGGGAAACACAAAAGGAGGTGGGGAGGAGACGGGGGAGAGGCGGCTGCCTTCCTAGCGAGTCATGTACATGAGGAGAGAGGAGTCCAAGTTTCTTTTCAGTCCTTTGATACAAGCCGCTGCAGATCCTCACCCTCTTCCCCCTTGTCACCTCGCAGCGGGGAGGGGGCAGTTCTGGGTCTCGGCCCCTTCTCTGCCCATTACCTCTGGGGGCGGGGGCGCAGCCAGCCCTGTGCGGAATAAAACGGACTCCTCTGGGCCAGTGTAAGCGGAGGAGCACTGCGCCCCGAGCGAGGCCGGCCACGGACAGCCCCCGCCGCCCTTCCCCTCTCGGCCCCGCGTTAAGATTTGCTCCTCGGCCCGGCCCCCGCGTGGCCGGACGTGGGCTCCTGCGCTTGTCCTTCCCAGCCCCACGCCCCATCACGCGGGGATAGTCCACTTTCTGTGAGTGTGTTTTCACAAGCTCCAGGGCCCGGTAATTGGGCGTGGGGACCGTGTAAGCCACTCCGGACGGCCCGGCGTATTCGGGAGGAAGCGGAGCGCCGCGAGGAGCCCGACGGCGCGTCCTGCGGCCGAGCGCCTGCCCGGAGAGGGGCCGTGCGGATGCCGCCCGCCGTGTTTGTGGTGTGTGATGCAAATAGGCTCTGAAAGCAACATTATCTTTTACAAAATCCTGTAATCCCCATACTGTGACATTTAGTGTCACCGCAAACCCAGGAAATTCTGAGTTAATGGAGGTGGACCGCGGGTTGGGCTGGAACCAGGGAATGTATCCTGAAACAAGCTGAACGGGACTAACTGTGCATGAACAGACTTTAGCCCTGAAGTCGGACGCTGAATGTCAACGCTGCTTGAGGTTGGCTGCTTCGGAGGATTCCTTCCTTGCTTGCTTCCTTCATTCATCCGTTGGTTCTCAGCTGAAGGTATTAGATGGACGTAGGCGTCTCATCTGATTCTTGGTCAATTTCATGTGTTTGCTTTCTCTAGAGAGGAAGAAATGAAGAGTCTTCCCCATGTGCTGAATTGGCTTAGGTTGATTCTGAACTGACAGTGCGGTCTTAGCCCTATTTAGTTTTCTTTTTTTAATGCGGGGAGCTGTTGTATGTGTGTGAAGTTTCCCTTTATTCTTGAACCATCCAGAGCACTGCACTGAGGGGAAGCAGTGTAGCTGTTGACATAGTGAAAACTCTGGTCCTATTAAACTGGAATTATCTTAAAAACTTGGCTTCCCAGTAAACTGAACCTTGGCGGGTCCACATAGCCTCCTGTGCTGGTGAGACTGGGCAAAGCTTTCTGCCTTTCATGCAGAAGAAAACTAAACAGCCCACAGTTGGTATTTCTCCTCCTTTGGTTTGCCACTGTCGTTAGTGCATGTGATTAGAAGCAGCAGCACTGTGGCCTTAGCATCTGGAGAGGCTGGTTTCTCCTTGGTGGGCTTCAACTGGTGGGCTGGTAGATGATTTTTGAGGGCTGTTCCATGTTGACTTCTGAAGTGTGATGGTTAGTTAAAAAAAATAATCTAAGAACTCCTTGTGGCCTGGTGGCAATAGAAAGGTACAGAGACCATGTAGAAGGAAGTGTGGGAAATGAACAATCACACAGGGATTGGTAATTTGGGATTCTGTTCTTTCTGTCAATGAACCATAAAATTTAATCCCAGCCCTTAGAATGGTTAAGTGATTTTTCAGTTGAGGAAGAGGTGTGTAGATGCAACAGTCTTCTGAAATTGCAGAAGACGACTCATTTACTTAGCGTGGTGGGCCCTGATGTGAAGAGGAGAAGCCCTGAGCCTGTTTCTGGAGGGGTGCTGTCCTGAATTTCCTCACCTAGCGTATAAAGGTGGGTTGTCTTCCTTTCTCCTGAATTGTTTCCATGGATTTAGAGACTAGAAAGTCTTTTCAAATTTAGTTCATCCTCATGATAAAAGGAAATATGTAGTTTTTTTAGCTTGTGAAGTATGGACATAAAAAAGTTAATGTGCTGTGCATGTAAAGGCAGAATTTAAATACTAGCTATAGTGTTTTAGATGTTATTGGACTTATATTGCTTCTCTTGTTTCCTACTATTGAAGTCAAGGCTCTAATTCCATGTTTAGCCAATTTCTCTACGCCCTGACGTTTTTCACGCGGTACCAGGCTTCTGTATTAGGCTTTGGGGATTGTCTGACAGGAGCCTGACTGGTATTTCTGCTGCTTCAGCAACCCGGCCTGGCTCGTCACTGTATGCCCTGCCTGTTAAATAACTCATCTCAGGACTGTTATTCTCCGTTTGGCAAAGCCCAGAAAGCCACCTCACCTCAGATTGCAGATTTAATAAACTAAACAGGAGCAGATGCTGAAAACCAACCCAGGCATTGCTGCCCAACTCGGGACTCAATGCTGAGGTTCTAGGTGTGTGGTCAATCTTATGCATTGTATTATTTAAAAGTATATCTCATTTATATTTGTATAGATTCCTCCCCTCCCCCATGTTGTGCTCTTTCCCCCTAAATTGATGATTTGCACTTCAAGGATGCCTTTCCTTTGAGTATCTTAAATGCTTTAAAGTTTTAATCCTGTTAAGTCTCCCCTGGGCCTTGGTATGTTGGCAGTGGATGGAGCCACAGAAGAGAGGAAGGGATTTCTGCTGAAATGAACCTGCCTCTGGGTAAAGAGTGGCTGTTTAAGATGAAAAGGAAGGGTTTTCCAGTATGTGAAGAATAATCTCTACTGAAAGAGCCTGTCAAGCCCAAGACCCCTTATCTGTGTGCCCCACCCCCGTGGGAGGTGAGGGTAAGCATTGGCTGAAGGATGTGACCAAGGGCCCCGGCAGCCCATTCACTTTTCCACCACCTTCCTGGATGAGTGGGCACAGGTGCTACAGCCCCTGCTCTGGGGGTCCAGGGGCGGGGGACTTTGAGCCTGATCTTGTAGACAGCATTTACCGGGAGGATCTGGGGGAGGAGGGTGGGCCTCTTGGAATGGTGAGGGGCTTCACTTGGCTGGAGCACGGTACATGTGCAGGGAATGTGAGTGTGAAAAAATGGAGAAGGAGTTTGGGACTAAATTTTAGAGGGCTTCGAATGCCAGGCTGACTTGTTGGTTTTTAATTTGGTTGATCATACGGAACCAGTAATGGTTTTTTCTTAATTTTTTTTTTTTTTGGTGAGGAAGATTAGCCCTGAGCTAATGTCCATTGCCAATCATCTTCTTTTTGCTGAGGAAGATTGGCCCTGGGCTAGCATCCGTGCCCATTTTTCTTTACTTTATATGTGGGACGACTTCTACAGTGTGACTTGATAACTGGTGCATAGGTCCACGCCCGGGATCCGAACCTGCGAACCCTAGGCCGCCGAAGCAGAGCATGCGAACTTAACCACTATGCCACTGGATTGGCCCCCACCAGCTGGGTAGTGGACATTCAAATGAAGGGGAACGGTATGAATCCATTTATTGGCACTGAATGGAGATAATCATTCTTACCTTGTGGCTGAGAACTAAATGCCATTAGTAGGTGCTGGCAAATGGTATGTGCTGAATAAATGGTATCTGGAGGGGAAAAAAGAAAAAGAAAAAAGAAAAGCCTAAATATTCTCTTCAAAATATAGTGAACCTGGCATCTTAAGTGTCTTCTTGCTCTCTGGAAAATTGTTGATATTTTTCTTTTTTTTATCCCTCATCCATTTCTCCAAGATTGATTTGGTTGGTTCATTGGGGCTTGCGCTATGAACCTCGAATGACGTTAAAGACTGCCTCTTGGGAAAAGTGGTTCAGATACCATGCCAATTCTCTTGTACCCAGCTGTGGTGTCATAGTGGGGTTCCTGTCCCTGGGCAGCCAGCAGGAAAGTGGGCAGAGGACACATCTTTCTTTGGTGGTTGTGTAAACAGTCAGGAGTGTCGCTAGTGGACGTGTCCCTAAGTGGAGGTTTCCTGTGGTGATCAGGCCGGCCCACTCTGCTCCCCGCCCAGTCTCTAGGCTCCACTACTCTACCCCTGCAGCCTGGCTTCTTCTGGCAGGAAGGGAGATGGCTGTCATCACTCAAGTACACATGGTTTGAGGTTGAACACGAGGCTACCACACAGTTTAATGGGCATTAGCAGATCTGTGAGCATGTCTGTGGGTGGATGCTAAGCGAGGGGACCCGTACCACACCCTGCCACCTATAATCAGTTTGGAATTTAAAGAAATTCCTTTTGAGATGAGAGTTTGAAGTTGAGGTAGGGAGGGCAGTAGCGGGAGAACAAACTATATAGCCAGAGAATCTGACAATCTGGCATTGTGTTATAAACTTTTCTCTAAAGAAAATAAAGTTTCCCTATTCTGGAGTTATGTTGTGGCTGCCTCCGGGTGCTGGAACATAATGGAAACAGATTGTGACTGATAAACAGTGCAAAAATAATGAGCTCTTCCCTGAACCCTCTAGCAAAAATGAAGGAGCTGCTGTACCCAGCATGGAGTGGGGTCAGCCTGATTGTGCTCTGTCAGACCTTGTGGAGGATGTGGGAGGGGTGGAGACCCAGGAAGATGTTAATGTTGTGTGGAGGCTTTTGGCCATCTGTAAATCTCTGCTCTCTCCACCCTCCTGGGGAGTGGTGGGT